GCCAAAAAAAGTATACACATTGTAAGAAAGGAAAAAATTATTAATTGTAATACTCGATATCTACCAATAGCAAAAGATGAATACAAGTCACGTTTGACTTCTGCAATTACAAGAGATGCTCAAAGTGGTTACCATCAGCGTCCAGACACTTCTGATTACGGTGAACTGCTTGAGCATAGATAACATCGCTTAAAAAGTGTATACATTTTTTTGGCACCCCAGTACATGCATGCATACACACTATATACTACGTACACACACACACACACACACACACACACACACACACACACACTGACAGATGCAAATAGAGGTCTTATAGGTTTCTTTCTAAAATTTGAGCCATGAATCAGTAAAACATAGTTGCAAAAAGCCTCTGGTTTATATAAATAATTGGATCCCATCTTTGCTCCATTTTATATTTTCCATCCCAATGTTTCTGGCAGGTGGGACAAGTTGAGGTTACTTCTTCAACATGTGGGAGGCTAAAGCTTTTTACAAAATTTGTGGAGGAGTTTTTCATTGTCCTGATACATAATCTTAAGATGGCTGTGGACTACATTTTAGGCAAGAGACCGAGGGGACATCACGTCGCCGTGTGGGTGTCCCCAAAGTGCATCTGAGTGAATAGACTGTCCAGTCTGTTTCCAATGAGCTTTTTTATTTTTAGCTTCAGGTAGTTGCCTTCAGGGGTCCCTGAGTTCCTGAAAAGCCCCTGATGAGGTGGGAGGAGCCTGAAGTTCAAGTGAAGGTAAGGAGTTGAAGGGAAAGGCCTGGCAGGGTGGACGGAGGGGAGAGGAGGTAGAGGTATGCAGGGGCTCCTATCAGGGGGTTCAATGGAAGACCAAGGTGGTTAGAGGGGGAGATGGGAAGGGAGAGGTCTTAGAGGAGCCAGTTTGGGAACATCTCAGGTTTCCCAAAGATACCAGTGAAGTTCCAAATTCAGCAGGAGTTTGAGAAGGGGGGTTTCAGTGGACTGAGAATTCCCCTTGGGGGGAGCAGGATCAAACAGAGAGCCCAGAGAAGCTTTCCAAAGAGCCAGGAAAAGTTTTCCAACCTAAGGGTCAGGGAGTGAATCCCCACTCAGAAGAAAGAGCAAAGAAGAAAGACTCCCAGCCCAGTAGGTACCTTTCAGACAAAGCAGCCTGGAGCTCTAACCCAGCTTCTAGAGTACATTCAGAACCATAGGAATCAAAGCCTGTCCTCACTGTGTGTCAGCGGACATTTATCTGGAGTGCTGGCCGGGGAGTGGCCTCACCAGTGGACCCTGGTCCATCAGTCAGGAGTGAAGGCTAAAGCGTCCATGGCGCACACCTGGGGTCCGGGGTGAGCGCTCCAGATCCAGTGATGAATCAAACCCCGTCCAAGTCACAGCACCACGACTGTTAGAAAACCAGGTGCTGGACAATAGTTTTAGTGGTAAACACAGATTTTATTCAAGAACTATCGCATCAGGAGCCAGGATAGAACTGGGCTCAATTCTGACTTGACAATTACAAATCCTCATTTTTCTTTAGTGGGAATTTATAGCCAGGGGGAGAGGTGGAAGATGGAAAATTGCTAAGCAGGTGGGGTCATTCTGGCTAAACTGGCCTAACAGGATTCTTGCTGAAGGCAGGCCAGGGCGATAAGATATCACCTGGGGATGGTGGAGGGTGTGGAACCTGGTGCGATATTAATGGTGGGTGGGGATTCTTGCTAAACTAACATGGCAGGGTTCTCGCTAAAACTGGGTAAAGCTGAAGTAGACATGGAAACCCAAAGGTTGAGACCTGATTGACGAAAGGTCTCAGAGGAGCCTGACTAAAGCTTGGTCAAGGAGAGCACCTTTGTTAATGGCGGCCCCCTGGGAAGCAAATGCAGGCCCTGCCTCAAGCCTTTGCATAAAAGACCTCACTCGTGGGAAAGAGTCCTGAGGAAGGAGACACCAGCCTTGCCCCCAGACTGCAGACTAGCAAGGAGCCCCTTCTTTAAAAAATGTGACCCCCCCCACTCCTGTCCACCTCCAGAGACCTCAAATACACCACCCCGACTCCACCCCTTGTCCCCTTGGGGGTCTCTTCCAGAACTGCCATGGACATACTTGGGGCTTCTTCCTCCGTGCTCCCCATGACACCCCTTGGCACCAGACTGTGAGATTCCTGCGGGCAGAGGCTGTCTCATTAGTGATGTCCACCCGAAAGCCCAGCATCGTGCTTGGTCCACGGGAGACCATCGGTATAGGTCCACCGGATGAATGAACCAATGGACAACCTTGTCCAGGAGTTTTCAAACTTTTCAAACATTTTAGCTCAGGAATCTCTTTTCTTCTTCCAGTATTTATGTGCAATCTCTATATAGACTACAGGAAAAGCAGAGCTGCTCAACTGGAGATTCAGTTGGGGCAGCAGGGCCCCATCTTCTCACTTCCCTTTCCCCAGAGATCGCCCCTAGATGACCCCGAGAAAGCATGTGGCTTTGGGGAACATCTGAAATAGCTGCTCTGGTCACTGTGCACATGGGGAAATTGATGCCTATGATAGGGCAAGACCTAAGGCAGAGAAGGGGCCAAGTTCAGGACTCAGGACCTGGTGCCCTCCTGTATTCCTGGTCACTCACGTCACCGCCCCCAGCTGCCCGACTCACTCTGAAGACGGTACAGGGAGGGGTGGTCAAAAGGCAGATGTGGAGGATTCAGATCCCAGCCCCATCACTTACAACCTGTGTGACTTTGGGCAAGTTACTGTCCCTCCCTGGGCCTCAGCTGTTCAGTGGAAAAGGATGGGGGAAGGGATAATAGTGTGGTGGAGATTGACACCTGACAATAAGCACTCAGCCCAGTAGTCGTTATTATTTGTTAAGTTTAAGGCTCCTAAACAAAACTTGTATAAGAGAATTTTCGTTCCAAAGAGTTTATGACCAGACCTGGGGCTGTCTCTCAAAGGGGAGACCAGCAGCTAAGTCTTAGTGGGTAAGGGTTTTATAGCTGAAGTTGGATACAGAAGTAAAAAAACAGTTAGTGTGTAAAAAAG